ACAATGTTCATAAAACTTTGTATTACTATGTAACACTAGCGATAAGAAAGTTAAATCTTTACTTCTTTCTGGTTTTGTTAATTTCTGCCTGATTGAGAAAATTAAAACTTAATTTTCTTGCAATAATGATGTCTTGTATTGCGATCAGAACTTGGGCAGTAGAGTTTATAAGTCAGCCATTTCTCTTATTCTTATGGGGTTAAGACTGTAGAATGATACTTTCATAATTATACAATACTCACATAATACTGTAATAAGTTATTTAATATAGCTGATCATAGTTGAAGTTTAATAGACTTCAATTGCTTGAATACTGCACAATCTGATTGCTTTTCCAGAGTTAATTTTAATGAAAATATATGATCACTCTCCATGTTGGTGCTGTTGCCCTCATTGTAATGACCATTATCCTTAGGTTTGCATAATAAAAATTTAGTAAAATGACTTTAATCCAAGGGAGTGATTCTAATAAAGAGTTTTTGGGTCATTTTTATCTTTTCTTAAAAAAAAATTCCATAGTAGCTGTGTAGTTTGTACAGAGGAATAAAGTCTATGTTTACTTCTGTATGGTGTGAGAAAGAGATGCATGCACCTACATAAATTACATTCAGATAAAATTTGAGAGCTTATCCCTGAAGAACTTTACTATAAATGCAAATGTATTTTATTTATTTATTTTGTGGCTGCGGATCAAACTCAAGCTTTCATGTGTGCTAAGCAAGTGCTCTACCACTGAGCTATACCTACTGTCCTGAAATTATTTTTAATGCAACCATTTTCAAATGTGTTCCAAAGATCAGTTCACATAAAAACAATTTCATCTTCTCAACAAATACAGCTTATTATAATTCTCTGAGCTTCTATATTTTTTGCTATGATGGAGTCCTTTCAAATATTTTTTGATTAATATTTAAAGATAACTATGTAGTAGGCACTATTTCTTTTCTTTTCTTTTGCAAATCATTTCATTGCAACATTACAGTTATTTCAATGCATCTTTAATCTGCACAGGCCCAAAATCATCACTTGTGAAACTCAGTGTCTTCGTATATGCTGAAGGATTTTCCTTTTCAGTAGTTCACATTTATCTCTCCCAAACAGCTCTAAAGAAGAGCTCTAAATAATATTATTATATTTGCAACATATGACATTTTATGAAACCAAATTTTTATATGAGTAAAAGGTTTGAGAAAATATATTGGGTTAAAGTATGCAACAGTTACACAGGCTATATACTGTTTACTGAATGAACTAATTTATGAATCAAAAAATCCGGGCCAATGATTTTTATGGTTCTTTATCACATGTAATCAGAAAAATTTTTTAAATGAATATAATTTCCTACATGCCTTGGTTTGCTCTATCCTGCGAATATCTGTTGAAAACAAATTCTTTAAGAATAAAACAAAGCACTGTCCTCTTCCAGAACTTTTTGACTTGGGGTCCACATTTGATTTATGAATAAACTTTACACTTAGAGGAAGCTCTGGAAATACAAACATACCTAACAAAATGAGGGGACATTAAAGGCACAAACAGTATACAAGGAGCATACACTAGGAAACGTTTTCCATCTTTGTTTTATACAGCACAGGGTTTTTGAAGAAGAAGTACAAGGTAGCCAAGGGCCAAATCGTGCAGGGCTGTAAATGCCTTATTAAGGATATTAGTCTTTGTAGGTCATCAGTGAATATTTATGAATGGGAGTACGAGTATCATTAATAATATTTATTAAACTCCAGTGTGCCAAGCACAGCTCTAGACATTAGGGGTATGTTGCAATACCAAAGGGACAAAAACATCTGTCCTTGTAGAGCTCATATTTTTAGTAGGAAAAACAGACCAAAAAAAGAACAGTATATTATTTTATTCAGTGTGTTATGTCCTATTGGAATAAAAGAAAAAGCGGCGCATGATAAAGCAAGCCAGGAGTGCCAGGAACATGTGGAGGGGGCCAGTGGTTGCACTTAAAATACTAGAGATAGAATAGGGCTCATTTAGCAAAACCCTGCAAAGAGTATGAGCGTAGGAAGATGTGTGGGTACTGCAGAAGAGCATTCCAGGCAGAGGGAAGAGCCAATGCTTGTGGCTTATTGATTCACTGGAGAGTAGTGAGGTGATCAGTGTGGTTGGAACTAGATGAATGAAGGGAGACCAGTAGGAAGATGAGGTCAGGAAGATCTGGGGAGTGTGCAAATCCATAGGGCCTTATAGGCCATGGTAATGACTGATATACAGTGGGAGGGAAGAGAGTCATTGGAAAGTTTAAAGCTGAGGACTTAAATAATCTGGCTGATTTTCATAGTATCACTTTACTATGTTCAAAAATTAGCTATAGGATAGCAATGATGGAGATAGGTTAGGAGGTTAGTACACAAATCTGGTATGAGATAATTGGGGCTTAGCTGGGAGTGGTGGCATGGTGCTATAATCCCAACACTCTGGGCTGACGCAGGAGGATGGCTCTGAGTTGAGACCAGTCTGGAGTCGAGGCCAGTCTGGGCTACATAGCGAGTTCAAGGCCAGCCTGAACTGCATAGTAAGATGCTGTGTGAGAGAGGAAGACAGAGAGGAAGGAGGAGGAGGGATACAGAAAAGAGAGAAGAGAAAGAAATGGTGGGGCTTAAACCAGATCTCTGGATGGCTCTTGGGAATAAAGGAGACCAAAGTGACATGGAAGTGTAAGCTGTTGACAAATGGAGTGCAAGTGGTACCATTAACATAAATGTTATCCTCTTATTTGTAAAATGAGAACTTTGGCCAAGTTATGTTAATTCCAAAAAAGAGAGTAGTGGGAACAGAAAAGAAGATTCAGTGATTAAACTGTCAACATGTTCAGTTGATTTACAGATTTGAAGGCTTTTGGATGAGTACACTAATGTAGAGAATTTGACTAAAGCAAATTATATTTTCCTTCAATGTATGTTTTTGCCTTGGAGATACAGTGCAGATGTGTGTCCTTTGAATTTATAACCTTAAAAGATGGAAATAAAATGAAAAGCAGAATTTTTTTTCAGAACTCTGTAATGTGTCTCAAAAGCTCAGGTGGACAGGCATATAGCCAGACAGTAGCAGGGTTAATTCAGGCAGTTTTGTTATTTTGACATTTCCTTGTCTGATTTTGCATTAAAAGAAGTCATGAAGCTTGTCGTAAGACATTCCAGTTTTATGTAACCAGTAGAAAAGCTAAACAGAAAATAGCTGCTATAGAAAGTTCTAAGGTAAAATCATCTTTCTTAAAATGGCTTCACTTCTGGTACAAATAAATCCCCCTCTTTTCTTTTTCTGTGGCAATAAAAATTGATTGGGGTTTGTGATGAAATATAACACAGAGGTTGGAAGTTTAGATCCCTGAGGGAATCAAAGGATTAAAAGTCGAAAAAGACCTATACATATAACAGTATATTTGCCTTAGCTGATCTAGGGAAGGATGATTTTAACAGCACAGGGCTGGTGATATTGGAAACAGTTTTTTGAGACCCATCAGTTCTTACTTACTTAAAACTTGTAGTGGAATCCTCCTCTCCAGGGAGAATACTGTAATTTTTCTAGTGAGGAAGAATGTGAACATGCATGACCAAGTTAACGCACATTATTTAGCTGCTTTTGTAAGAAATAAATGTATGAAATGTGGAATGTATGAAATGTATGAAATGTGTTAATTAAATCCAATTCCAAACAATTAAAAAATATGGTTGTTTCCTCTTACACACATCTATTAATTGACACTTCAGTGTAGAATCATGCAGCACGTAGTGAAGTTTCTGTCAGTGATGGGACCTTATATATGATGGGGGTCCCATAGCGTTATGTCACCTAGTGACATCATAGCCATCTTAGTTTATATGTACTCGAAGGTGTTTATTCAGTGATGGGCTCATTTAATATACATTTGTTAGAACATATCCCCGTCATTACATGACACATTAGTGTATTCATTATATAATAAGAACTGAGCTTCATACTTATCATATGTTATAAGATCTTGAAGTATCTCCTTAATCATGGAAGGTTACTGAATTGCTAGGAATTGGTTTTGTTGTTTATTAATTTTTCAAGTAGTGATATCCATATATATTGTAGTTTTTATTAGACACTCTAATTTGTTAACTAGAATACACCATTTCCCAGGAGTCTCAGTATAGTATTGGAAGTAGAAATGCATGTGCAAAAAATTGTTAGATTTTGAGAAATTGGCATATATTAATTAACAGAATCACAAGATTCAATTTTATTTAGACTGTTTATAAATGTGTCCTTTAGGCTAGGCATAGTAGTGCACGTCTATAGTCCCAGCACTCAAGAGGCCGAGGCAAGAGAATCACCATGAGTCTGAGCACAGCCTGTATCATACAGTGAGTTCAACGGCAGCCTAAGCTACATAGGAAGACCCTGTCTCAAAAAAGCAACTGCAAGGTGTCCTTTAAATCTCCATTGGATATAACACTGAACTGTTAGATCAAGCTGTTTCATTATATTGCACTAATTTTCATTGTGATATTTTCCTGGTTGTACATTCTTAAAAATTAGGTAGTTTATATGTATTTTATATTTTATATGTATTTCCACAAAACAGTGTAATCATTTATTGTAAGCATACACCAATAAAAATATCAGGAATGAAAATTTTCCATATAAGTAAAAAAACTTAGACATTTTAAAGCGTGATTATTCATTCTAAAACTAAAAAACTGCAGGGGCTTGTGATTTTGCTTTATCTTTTCTAATGTGTGAACATTATGATAGTGATATCTGATCTACATCTGGCTTTGGCTTCTTAGGGTCAGGATTTAAAAATAGATAGCCCTCACCTTAATTTTTAATTTCTAAAAAGTTGTTTTTTTGTAAATGATATATTGTTTATATGTTAAAGCTTCTAATTCTTTTTTGCTACCATTGATAAAATAAAAACTGATACTCATTCAATTATTATTTTGTTTGATCTATGAGTTTCTTTTGTCTGACTGGTATTTCTTTTTGTTTCCTTTTGGTTTTAATAGAACATTCAAATAAAAACTTTGGCAGATGATGTGGTAAGGTGGTCTTAGCAGCATGTTATTATATTACTTATGCATGCTACTTTTTATTAAAATGGGTGGACATTAAAGCATTGACATATGTAAGACGTGAAACCTGTGGATGTTTACAAAATATAGAATAATTTTTCAATATTAAAATGGAAAATTGTGATTCTAATAAAATTTTGATATCATCATCTTGATATAGTCCATAGTCAGGTGCATTAAATTCTATATTAAATATAGACATTGGAAAATATAGACATTTCCTTTTTGATAGTCAAAGAAATTACAAATATGTCAAGCATTAATATCAGAGGAAATTAATTTTAAATAGAAAGGAAATTAAGTTCATTCTACTAGTCAGATATTGCTATTGAATTTAAAAACCTTAAAGATTTTCAAACTCAGTCTATCATAGTAAAACTTATTAAAAGTTATAAGCTCAAAATTTAAACATGCCCTTTTATAGCTAAACTTTTAACAATGGTATTTTATGCAATGTCAGTATATTTCTGTGTGAAATTACCTATCTACAAATAATGTAAAATAGTGTTGGCACTTTAAAGAGATAAAAAGTATGGAGTTGACTTCATTTTTTTTTAGCAAGGTAAGATGAAAATGAAAATGAAAAATGAAATGCTTCCTAACAGAAACTAGAATTTTTTTAGATAGAAATGAAGAACATAGTGAAAGATCAAATCTATATGTTAGTAAATGCTGCTACTTAGTAAAAAAGCTAGTGCTGTGAAAGTAAGTGCTATAAAGGAAATGGAAAAGAGGTATGATAATATAATGGTCAATTACATATTTAAATGCTTTCATGTCCACTATATCTTTTAGTGAAATCTGATTGTTGGATATGTACTCAGTTTATTTGGGATTACCTAATATTATTTTCCTTGACCAATGTAATTCCCTCAGAGAGTTAAAAAAATTGAAAATGTAATTGAACATAATCAATGAAATGAATTTTAAGGCAATGTGAAGACCAAGATAGTTACCCAAGGCTTATGAATTTGGGTATGTCACTTTTTCTGTGAAATGAGGGAGTTGGTCTAGACGCTTTCTCATATTTCTTCTAGCTCAAAAACACTGGTTTATATTATCTCTTTGTAAGCTCCTACATATTTAGCTCATTTTTGTAATCCCAAATAAGCTGCTTAAAACAGCTCATATTTCTTTCAAAGTACACCTTTTAGTTAAAAGAGTGTTCTTTGAATCAATAAAAGATATGTTCCTGTAGTGTGGAGAGGTCAACATAATTTTACGTAGGCTATGTTCATAACATTTGTGATGTGTTTTGTATTGTTGAAGTAATTTATAAGGACTCTGGTAACATGGAGGTGAACACGCACTGTCCTCATATCTAACGTATCTGCTTATTTAACATGAGCTATGGTATGTATGTGCTTCCTAACAGAAACTGGAATAAAACTGAGTTCCATTCAGTTTTATGTACATTACTAATTTTTGATGTCTAGTGTTTTGTGGTTGAAAATAGAATGGCTTGTTTGTATGGAACTTACCGTTCTATGTAAAAGAGTAAGCTTATCTTTTAGCGATTATACATGGAATCAGTTGTTCAAAATCCATTATAGTATTTCTTTTCTTTTCTTTTTTTTTTTTTTTGGTACTGGGAATCAAACTCAGGACCTTGTGCTTGCCAGGCAGGCGCTTGTGCCGCTGAGCTATATCCCCAGCCCCCATCATAGTATTTCTAAGAATAAAATATTTTGTTTATGTTACATTACTAGTAAATGGAAAAGATTATGTTTTTATTTCTTTTCCTTCCTTATTGGCCTCACTTTTTGGGGAAGAAAAAGTTGGGAGAAAATAATAATAGTAACAACAACAACAACACTGAGTAGCAGCTGAGTTCACAAAGCATATTATTTAAATCTCCAATAACCCTATGGTGTATGTAGTAACACTATACCCATCTTCGACCCTCAGAGAGAGGAGACTGTCAGAGGAGACCATCAGAGAGAGACCAGCCAAAATTCCAGGGGCTGCTCGGTTAATGGCAGAGGCTGGACTGAAATCCAGCTAGTCTGGCTTCAGAGTTCGTGCTCTCAACCACTCTACTTAACTGCTACTGACAAATTTTTCATATATATTCGTCACAGTTTTTGTACTTGAAGAAAAACATTACCATAATTTCCCCTTAGAATTAGACATCAGTAGCTCTCTTTATTTTCTCCTTTCTTCGTAGTTTTAAAGTTGCCATCACAGAAAAATTCTCCCTGAAACATACATGGCATTTTGATTTTCTTTTCTCCTACTTACTGTGTAAAACTGACATGACAAGGGACTAAATTTTACTTTTGAGGAGTACTTCTCACCCTCAGACTTCTGAAACTGAAGTCCTGCATCAAGGTTTCCAAACAGTACAATCTCCAATTGGAGCTTGTTGCTTAAAATAACATTTTATCAAGAGACAGCAATGATATATATTACATTAAGTGCCATTTTGATATTTCACTGCTTCCTGTTCATGGTCCTTGATCTTTATCTTAGGGCTTTTTATTTTTTCATGTTTGCAGCGTGATCGAATTACAAGTTTTAGAAAATCTACAGTCAAAAAAGAAAAACCTCTTATTCAACATCCTATTGATTCTCAAGTCGCGATGAGTGAGTTTCCAGCGGCTCAGCCATTGTATGACGAAAGATCTTTGAATTTGTCAGAAAAGGAAGTACTGGATCTCTTTGAAAAAATGATGGTAAGTTAGAGCTCTAATTGTGCTCTACTTTTAAAAGTGTGTGTGTGTGTGTGTGTGTGTGTCTACAATAGCAGTGGATTTACGTAGGTGTGTTTGTGTGGACTATGTTTATATTATGCAAAGAACAGAACAGAAACTTGTTTATGCAACAGAAGTATTTGTAAAAGTAACCATTTTTTGAGCTAAAACATCCTTGTCTCTCTTACACTATGAGCTCCGAAAAGCAGGGATACTTATTTTTGTTCTCTAGTTTCTGGCACATTGATCAAATTTTCACTTACCTCATTTTTGTGTTTATTTCTACAAAGCAAAACAGGCCTAAATCCACAGTTCTTTTGCAGCAAAGGGTGAAGGGGCAGTAAAGGAAACAGGGGAATTAACTCATCCTTTTGTTTTATTAGCAATAGTCATACAGCTTGCATTTTTAGCATATTATATTTTCTAGCTTGTGATCTAAATGTATTTTTTATATTAGGTAATAAATATATATTATTTTTAAAATCCAGCCGTTTATGTTAGAAGGGAGAAATGAGTCATTGGGCCTTATTACATTGTTTATTTTGACCAGAGAAGAGCTAGAGATCCTGATCCATAATTCAGTCATTTAAATTTCTGTCTCGCTTATCCCTATACATTCTATATAAATCATTGTGTAAATGCTTGCAGGACTCGCACCCTTATCAGGTAAGCCCTTTCTTCAGTTAGCCACTCATTATCCTATCTTAGTTGCTGGAAATGACACTAACACAACCAAAAACATTTCCTGAGGCTCTTTATTAACAATTTTCATCTTTTAAAGCATTCTTCTCTTCACTCAGAATTTACACTTACAGCTCTAACTTGGCTGCCAGTTTCGCTACTAGTTTTTACAGTACTGGAATAGTTAAGAGTTCACCCGTGGCCTTGCCATAGTCCAGTTCTCTTAAGTTTAACGCTACAGGATCATTTTCTGCTCTGTTCGTTTTTCTCAGTCACATTTATATCAAATCCCACTGGTTCTGCTCTCGTAATAACTGTTACATGTCTGTCTGCCATTGTCTTCCAGATGCTCTTAGAGCCTTGGTTTAGATGGTACCCTTCTTTATTTTATTTTATGTTTTTGTGGGAAAGGAGTCAGTTTATGAAATTAAATAAAGTCCATGGAGGGGTGAAGATCCCGGGCAAGGGCACCTTCACCCTTGCTGCACCCAGCACAGCTGAACCTCAGCAACCCACTGCCCCTCCTTCCCACCCTTGTGGGGCTTAAACAGGCCAGGCCCCAGCCTGGCAGCCACGGGACCCAGGGCCTAAGAGGGACAGAAGTAGGAGAAGTAGGGGCGCTGCAAGGCCTCCTTTTCGGTTTCCGCAGGAGGTCCTTCCCTGTGGTATTGAGCTTGGGCACGACCTTCACCAGGGATGTTGTGGCTGGGTACTCTGGGTAGGGCTTATAGTCTGGCAACTTGATCATGGCGGACCGTTGCTCCTTGGCTGGTGTCCCTAGCAGCTGGAAGATCCTCTTCAGCTGGTCATCCAAGTTGTTGCCAGGGGAAAGAGGCCACCTGGCATTGGCCAGCTCTGCACAGATGCAGCTGGCTGATCACATGTCCATGGATGTGGAGTATAGCTTGGCTCCACAGGGGACATCCTGCGGGTGGTAACACAGCATGACCATCTCGGTGGAGTAGCAGTGGACTGGGATCCCAAAGACTCATGCCAAGCTGAAGCCAGCCCATTTCAGCTCCCCATTCCTGTTTATGAGCACATTCTGGCTTCGGGTCCCTGTGCAGCACATTGGGACTGTGACAGAATCCCAGGCTTTTCTGTAGCTGGAAGAGGAATGACTTCACAATCTCTGGATCGAGGTCACTATTGCAGCTGTCAAAATACTTCTTCAGGTTTCTATCACAGAATTTGAAAACCAAAGTCAGTTTGTTGTCACTATGAAGCCTGATGATCTTGTGCTTTAGCTCATGGAGTAGGTAGGTAGATCTCCCAGAGTGCTAACCTAGGTGTACCCTCATCATGTCATCCAGCCTCCCCCGCTTCAGAGCCACAATCTCATGGGTCTCCTGATTTTTTGCCGTGAACACTGCTCCATAGATACCTTCTCTAGTCTTGTTCAGTTTCTCATATTGCTGCATAGCAGAAGCTGCGGGGCCCAGTGGGTTTGGGGCTTTGGGACCCTTTAGTTGTCTCTTGTGGTTCCTTAGATAGTTCCCTAACTGGTCCTCCATCCATCTTCAAAGTGTTGCCTAGTCTTCAAGGTGTTGCCCCTATTCAGTGGGGCACTTCCTCTATTATTGCCCCATTCGTAATTCTGAAATAGGTTCTTTTTCTGACATCCGAAGTGGGCCTGCTAATTTGAGGTGCCTTTATATTATAGTTAGCTAGCATTCAGAGTATAATATGCACATAAAGTGAAGGTCATCACTGGTGATTGATACACATCTATGTTTTCAATAGTTACCTGAATAATTTCAAATCTTGTGGGGACAGCTTCTTAGCCTTAGATTTTTGTTGCTTTTAGTATGGGATGATAGATAAAAGACTCAGAATTATAAGTAGGAGATATAACAGTTCTTGTTCCTTTGTGCTTGCATTATTGTTATTATCCTATTCTTAATCTTTTATCTTTGCAGGGAATATCTAGAGATACTTTTTCATTTTGTGAAGGTTAATTCAGTTAAAACTAGATAATAAAATCAATAACTCTATCTAACCTGATATATGCTAATTGCAGTGTTTGTAGTACACTGGAAGAAATCTGTACTGTGAATATCCCACTGTTCCCCTAAGGTACCTCATGTGCCGTTTGAATTTATAGATCCTAGGAGAGATCTAGTGTTCATTCTCATGCTAAACTTTGGTAAATTTTACTTTCTTAAGAGTAATCAGAATTTCCCAAACCCCAGTGAGTTGTTTATACAATCTCTGTACTTTGCAAACCACTGGTTGAAGATTAAGCTCAGGATTAAGGATTACAGGAAAGTGAAAATAATATTTGTATTTTCTAATATTGAAATATGTGTTCTGAATACCCTCCTCATGGCAAAGTAAAATACGTGGGGTTCAAAGTTGAATGCTTTCAACAGGGCCTTGATAGCAGAATTCAATGAAGAAATTGCGTGCTCTACTCAGTAACATTCTCTCAATAATCGTACATTTTCTTTTTGGCTGTTGGTTTCATACTATTTGGAGAAATAGTGTATTTGGACATTGCTTTAACTTTGTCTTCCATGAGCACCCCTGTATGTTATGTGGCTGGAGTCTATACAGGTAAAGTTCACTGGGTCTTTTGAGAACATGAGGTAGTTATTAATGCCAGGTAGAATTGGCCAATTGTTTAATTATGTAGAAACCCCTGATATTTTCATTGTAATGTAAAAAAGAAATGGTTCGTTCTTTCGTGGTTCTATTCTTTCATTGTTCTTCCTAATGCACAGAAGTAATAATTATGGACATCCTTTTACAAAAGAATTACTTTAAATAAACATCATAAAAATCCATTAATTTAAAACCTTACAATAATCAAATGTAGTTATCTTAGTCATTTTCCTGTCACTGGGATAAAATATCAGACACCTGCAAATTACAGCAGGAGAGGCCTATTTTGGTTCAAGTTTCAATCCATGGTCTGCTGACTCCAAGGGAGAAATGGCATGGGGGAAGGGTTTGGAAGAGAGCAGCTGCTCATTCCATGGCAACCAGCAAGGAGAGGGAAAAGGGAGGAACCAGGGAGAAGAATACACATTTCTGGGTCACACCCCCAGTGACTATCTCCAGCCAGGCTCCACTTCCAAACAGCACATTCAACTACTAAACTTACCAGTGGGCAAATCTACTGATGCATATGGGGCCGCCAGGATCCAGTCACCTTCTACACGCATGATTCTTTTAGGGGACAGTTGAGATCTAAGCCATTACAGTAATTGTAATCTTTGCTCATGTGAGGATATAATTTTAGGTAGGGTGTCATTAATTCATTCTCTTCAGAGGTTCGGATACTGCAGCCTGCAAGTAGGAGAATGCTTGAATAATTACTATTAATAAACAGAAGGAAGAAGAGAAATTTAAAAAGAAAATTTTGTGTGGTACTGGGAATTGTGGGGGTTGAATTCAGGACCATCATGCTGAGCTACTATATCCCCAACCCTTTCTATGTTTTATTTTAAGACAGAGTTGCTCTAAGGTGCTAAGTTTTGCAGGCTGGGCTCAAACTCAGAATTTTCATGCTTCAGCATCCCAGAGAGCTGGGATTATAGGCATGTGCTGCCAGTCCTAGCTTCAAGTTCAGATTTGAAAACAGCTGTTAGAAAACTGAAGCCTTAAGCTGAAATAAAGATACGTTACAGGAACAGAAACAATTCATATAAAATTTACAGAATTTATAGCAAATTTATAGAATGGTCAAGAACTGTTACTTCTGTCTTACAGAGAAGAGATATAAAAACCTACAAGGTTGACATTTATGTCTCATAAAGCAAAATAGAATAACAGTGGAAAAGATAGGAAAATAAAAGCGGGGTGTTACGGCGCACACCTGTAATACCAGCAACCTGGGAGGCTGAGGCATGAGGATAACAATTTCAAAGTCAGCCTGGGCAATTTAGCAAGATTCTGACTCAAATTAGAAAAAAAGAAGAAGGAGGAGGGAGGAGGGAGGTGGGAGGAGGGAGGAGGAAGAAAAAAGGGCTTGGAATGTAGCAGCGTGAAGGCCCTAGGTTCAGTCCCTAGTATTGCCAAAAAAGAAAAAAAAATGCAAAATAGAAAATTATATTGGAAGATGAGGGGAAAGTAGTTTAAAAATTATATTGTCTTCTGTGTGTGGCATTTTGAGGAGATGGAGAGGGAAGAAAGAGGAGAGACAGAAGAGAATGAATTAGTGAGCATGTAAATGAATTAGTACATAGCTGGTTCAACATTTGCCATTTTCATCTGCCTCTATTCCATTTAATTTTTCAGGAATGACTTTCGGAGTACTATCAGTGTTTGGGACTGGGACTGTAGCTCAGTGATGGAGC